TGTGCTTCTTCCATGTGGGCTTGTTGCTTCTCTGCTGGATGGCTGCTTGTTTTACTTCAAACCTTTAAGACTCCAGATGCTATATCTTTTAATATCCCGGCACCATCTGCCTTCTTCACTACATTGGCTTATGCACCCATTTTGTCTTCAGCAATTGTGTCGGGAGGGTGAGCATCTCAGATTGCCAATTTGTTAGAACAACGTGTTCTTGTATTTAGGGAGGGTATGAGCAGAGGCCCAAAGTCTATCCACTACCCCAGTGTCTTGCCATATAAATATATGTACATAGGCCAATACTTCTATTTTTATAGATTAATGTAATTACATACGGACACCCCTATGCTCATACCACTATCCATAGTTTTGCTTCCTAGATCATTCCTCTGTTTCCTTTTACCTTCTTTCTGCTCCACCATCATGCTCGCTCTACTTCTGCCTCATAGGACTTCCTTTCAGTTAGATTGCTGTTGCGCCAGCACTCCCAGGATCTCTATACCCACCTCGTTGTTGTTTTTATTCCCTGGTTCTTCTCCTGTCTATGGCAAAGCCCGTGTCAAGTAAAGCTCATTACTTTCATTCACAGCGTTTACTCTCTTTACAAACTGTTTTAACAAATACCACTTTTTTATTTGTTTGTTTCCAAGTTCAGGGAAGATTAGGAGCAAGTCACAGATGATGAGAGGGAGAGAGGCCAGTACACAGACAACAGCAGTCATGTACAAGTATTAGCTGACAGCATGAAGGGAATTAAAAATAATAATAAAAAGAACAGACACTCACAACTCCACTACCATCATAGGTTTGTTCAAGGGCAAGTAGACATCATACACATCAATAAAACAGCCCCCCAAAGTGATAAGTTACTGTGTCAAGTTTAAAACAGGGTTGGTATCCTCTGTTTAAGAAAGTAGGAGAATATGGGAGTGCTTTAAAAAGTTTGTGGAAAAGATCCATTAATTAACTTTTAGTTCCATTTTTTCCCTTCAAGAACTTTTAAGAAACGGTTCATGTATCATACAATTCAATGTTTGAGTTTATTAAAGAGAGTTATGTGTTCACCATACTAATCAGTATTAGAATAATTTTGGCATTCTTGTATCCATTATTATTAACTCCCTGTTTCTTCCCAACCTCCCTTGTCATAACCCTAAGAAACTATCAGTCTAGTAGCTGTCTCTGTAGATTTATCTATTCTGAGTTTCCTATAACCAAAATCACTTAGGTGAAAAATAAAATAAAAAACAACCACCAGAAAAAAATAATCCAACAAGTACAACAGAATAAAACACAGAACCTCAATCCAAAAGAGAGCAGAATATAATAAAACTAGAACCAGCTGAAAGTGGGTTAAAAGGAGAAACAAATGGTAAGATGTTAAATTTGCAGTAATCCACATTCCAATGTCCCCTCGTTTGGGGACAAAACGATTGAGACCCTTGGTCAATGGACCTAGCGAGTTACATGGAGACTTAGTCCACATGGAGGCTTTGCCAATGGGCTTTGGGCTTTCACTGTCCTACTACGTAGCCTTCTGCACACCAGGTGCCAGAATGCCAGAATTTAATCTCTGCTACAATTTCCCCTTCTGACCTTGGATTTTACTGTTAATGATTCTTAGATAAGGCTAGCTGGTGTGCTTCTTTCATGTGGTGTGCTTCTTCCGTGTGGACTTAGTTGACACCTCACTTAGATAGCTGCTTATTTTAAGTCAAACTTTTTAAGACACAAGATGCTATTCTTTCTGGTAGGCTAGCACCATCGGATTTCTTCATCACACATTGCCATAGTACCCTTATCTTCAGTGACCTTTTCATGAGGGTAAGTATTGAGTACAGCTATATCATAAGAACTAATTGTTCTTAGATTAGAGTTTATGATTACGTGTGATTTCAAAATCCATTTGTACATCTATGGTTTATATATATCCCTGATCCATTTTAGAGATAACAGTCTCATTTGATTAGGGAATATTATAAATAATCCCCATGGGGCATATGGTAATTCTATTGATTGTACCATCAATTTAGTCAATGGTGTAGAACTTAAAGTACTGCTGAGGAAATGAAAGTATATATGTATAAAATAACTTTTTAGCTTAAAATACATAGATTGTTAACTTGTACAGATTAACAGCTTAAGTGACTGGACACTATTCACACCAGTGGTTCTCAACTTTCCTAATACCTCGACCCTTTAATACAGTTCCTCATGTGGTGGTGACCCCCCAACCATACAATTATTTTCCTTGCTACTTCATAATTGTAATTTTGCTACTGTTATGAATCAGGTGACCCCTGCGAAAGGGTCATTCGACCCCCAAAGGGGTCACGACCCACAGGTGGAGAACAGCTGATTTACACAAAGAGTGTTGAAGATAGGGCAAAACTTTCAGTAATACTGATTCACCATGAAAAGGTCTGAGGGGCCGGC